GACAATAGACGAAAAGCATTATCGCATACAATAAAGCAGCATCAAACTTACAGTATCCTTAATCCCATTCACTGGCTCCCGTGGCATGACTCGACTCCAGTCTATTCCCATCCGAAAGATACACCAGATTCACTTCTGTCAGGATCACACCAAAATTTTAATCTCTCCTCCCTGAAACAATTAAAGCAATTCATTTCTCACGTTGTAAAAGACCAGTGAGGAGTAAGAAGAACCTCTTTTGTAAATAAAGGAATCGTTTATCAGATAATAAGATTTACGGGTAAGGAACATTGTGCCATGCTGCTACATTATGATGGCATTCCTCTGAGGAAGCGGTCTCTTTTCCTTCTTCTTCAGCCTCATCCTCTACAAACTTTTGCAACCCTCTTATCATGGCTTCCATGGCAACCTTAAGGGCCCTCTTCTTCTTGCCAGACTTTTCCCTAGCTAACGGAGCGAGATGCAAACCACCATCGGCGGCAACACCCATCACTACGTCAGCTTCTACTGGATCATCACTTGTTTCTGATTTATGACAAGGATTTTCTTCTGCACACTGTAGCCAAGCATCATTGAGCCTGTCTTCCACATGTGCTGGCGCTGTTGCTAATCCAAAGAAAAACCCATTTTCCTCCTCACCTAAACACGTAGAGATCATCATATAGCACGTAAATTATCAACACTCAGATGGAAACTAAATGCCTCGACTTATCACTTAACTATTTATTATTAATTCCATATATACAATCAAGTTAAAGATGTTTTCCCCTTTCCAAAGAACAGGAAAATTAATTCAAATACTATAACTGTTTTATTTTTCGTTTTTCCTTCCAAGAGGGAAATATCCAAATAAAAAAATAAAAGCGAATAACTTTATAAGCAAGTACTTTTCTCATGCACTTAGAAAGCTTCACTCTAAATATACACAAATGAAGCTCAAAAGCTACAGACAAGCAACATTTATTAAAGCAAACAGAGGATAAGAAGATTTAGGGTTTGGTTGAGTGTTTACTTAATTACCATTGACATTGAAATCAGCAAGAATATCGGAGGATTCGTCGATTGGAGAATCGAAGCGCCGGAGATGCTTTTTCCGGTAACGCGAGAAAGAGAAAGCATTGGCGGCGATGGAAATCGTCATGAAGATTCCGGCGAGCTTCGTCGCCGAAAGAAACAAGGTCGTTAACGCCATTATCGTGTTTTTGTATTGAGAAATGAGATTAAAAACTTAAAGAGACTGAGAGCTTGAAATGGAGTTGGCTAATTCATCGTTTGAGACAGAATCCGTGACTAGGAAAGAAGAGAATCGTCCTCGTGGCATAGATCAACATTAGTAACTTCCAGTGAGACTCATTAAAGACGACTCAGAGTAACCAACTTGGCTATCCCGGAAATAATCCGGATTAGGGTCATGATTAACCGAGATGCCGCTGCTGTAACAATCAGTCAAATCCAAAACCGACGAAACTCGAGCCCAAAAGAGGTCGGATACCCTGTGTGGGGTTACCAACACAGTGCATCCGACTCCACCGGGTTCGTTACCTATAAACCCATGGGGAAAAACCATTTTCCCATCACCTGCATTGCTCTCTTGAATCCTTTCGACCAACCTGGGTATCCACTGGAAACGCAGGGTGTCCTGGAATTGTTTTCTGTTGACGTCGCATTTAAGCTGTTTAGCATGTTTTTGAACCCCAGTTCTCCAGTAGTTCTTGATCTCGTTGTCGGTTCTTCCAGGCAAGTGTTGGGCGATTTTGGACCATCTGATATAAAATTCAAACCCATCCATCGAGTAAAATAAAATGAAACTCAAAGGAGATTATAAAGTGGTGATGTAAAGTGTTAAAAACATGCACCGATTTCCCCATTGAGAGTGAAGTTGAAGGATCAGAAGCTGCTCCTCTTCTGTAATGTTCCGTCGTCGAACTTCGGGGCTGAGATAGTTCAGCCATCTCAATCTGCAGTTTTTCCGTACTGTATTATCAATAACTAAAATAGATTTTTTTTTAAAATATTATCTTATCGTAACTCTAGATTATTTTAAAATAATAATATTTACTTTCTAACGCCTTTAGTTGATCTCTAACTTCGGAATATTTGGTTCAAGGAATGTGGGATTCTTATGGGAATGTAATCCACATTCGCATGTTTGATTGACCGAGAATCTCATTCCCAGTAATGTTTTATTATCAATAATAGATTTTTTTGGTATATTACCGGAAATGTTATTACCTCCATTTCCTTAGGTATTGTTAGATTACCGGCATTTTGAACTAAAATGCCCTTAAATTTTTTTCCCAAAAATATCATTCTTCCGTCATTGAATAATAAAAATTCTACGAAGGTTAAATTACAAATTTATCCTTAAACTATTTTAGATTTATAAAAAAAATTATAATTAAAATTTTATATGAAATTTAGGAGTTAAAATAAAATTTTGTATTTTCACTAAACCTCTTTATATTTTCAATTTTGTAAAAATATATATAAATTTTATGAATTTAAATTTTTCAAAGAAAATATATAAATATTTTTAAACTTGTTAAAAAATCAAATATATAATAAGGACAATTTGGTCAAATATACATTCCAATAATCTTTTATTCTTTTAACTAAATACGGTAATCTTACATTCTTGCTAAACCAACCAAACACAAAATACAACATTCTCAGTAATCCTATTCTCTGATAATCTTACATTCCCACTGATAATCTTACATTCTGTGAACCAAACGCACCCTAAATGAATGTTATTGTCCCTAAAGGTTATAAGTTCGAGCAGATGTATCTATAAGGTGTATACCTTATTAGTGATTAATAAAAATTTTGAATAAATAATACCTTATATTTATATATATTCCAACACAAAATAAAAATAATATAAACACGATGGGTTTGAATGAGTATTTATTCTTATTCTCTAATCTACATCAAAATTTTAATTGGAATGTGGTCAATTTCTTTTCTGAGGGATAATTTCTTTTAGATTTTCAAACGAAGTGGTAAGGTTGTAAATTTTGAGAGGTTAAAGTAAAATATAAGTAGTAATTCCTCATTTGGGTGAAATAGAAGGATCAAAATCAAAATATGACCAATTTTAAGATAAAGATAGTAATCCAAATAGGCAAGCCCGCCATTTAAAAACTTGCCCAATTTGACGGAGGAAAGACTGCAACTTTTATACTAATAATTTCATTCATACTTATACCAATTATTTGGGATTCTTCATCAATCTATTTACCAAATAATTCATACTCACTAATACCATGCTCTTTACTACTACTATTATTACTATTATTATTGTTATCATCGTTGGAGAAAAATATTATTTGTTCCATAAATTTCGTCTCCAACAGATAAATTTGGTCTAGTCATTTCTTATAATTTAGGGTAAATTACACAAATGGTCTCCATATTATATAGTATTGCTTTATTAAGTAACTCAACTATTAAAAGTAATAAAATGATCCTCCAACTGTAGAGTGTTGCTTTGTTGAGTCCCCCGACTATTAAAAGATACAAAATGGTCACCCGACTATTCATTATAATCCAAACTCGTCATTTTCCATTAAAAATGACAATTGTCTAAACAAAACATTAACATGATGATTGTTACATGATAGTCGTTTGTCATTCTGACATCAAATTTTATCATATCACAAGTCATTAGGTTAATGTTCAATTCAGAATACCATCATTTTTAACATAAAATACGTATTTGAAACATAATGAATAGTTAGGTGACCATTTTGTAACTTTTAATAACCGAGGGACTCAACAAAGCAATACTCTATAATCGGATAATCATTTTATAACTTTTAATAGTTAATGAATTTAATAAAGCAATACTCTATAGTTAGATGGATAAATTATGTACTTTACCCGGCTCATTTTTTTTAATATGGATTTGCAAAATCAAATTATTTCATTTGGATATCAAATAAAAAATTTCCTAAATTTTATTTTGAAAGTAAGAACTTTTATATATATATATATATATATATATATATATACACACACACAATTGTGTTTTTTAAAATAGAAAGTATGACTTCACATTTTTTTTTCTTGTTTATTTGTGTTGCGCATATACTATTTTAATATTCATTGGGTTCTTGATATTATGTTTTGATGTGTTGGTGTTTTAGTTAATCTTCTATTTTGTGTGTTGTATAATTATATTATATTGAAAAATATCAAATAACACTTGTCTTGTGTCCCATGTCAATAAGCTTCTTTTTCTATTTTGTGCTTCACGTAGATATATATAAATTTGTAATAATTTGTTTATATGTAAATTTCAATGTCGCATTTGACTTTTTTTTAAATTTATTTATTGAATGTTGGGATTTAAATACTATATGTTAAAAGACAAATTTCATGTAAATCCAAAGCCTAATATTTTGGGCCAAATTGCCGAGATATTGTTGTGGGGGGAAATTCCCGAGATAAGATACATCGTGTATTATTTTTTCATTTAGGGTAAAATCTACAGTAACAACACAAATTCCATGACTGTATAGTATCTTCAGGCCAAGTGTAAAGACTCCAGGAGTGTACGATTTCTTCAAGCCAATGGATAAGACTATGATTGTTTGGCGTCTTCAGACCAATCGATAAGACTCCATGATTGTTTGGCGTCTTCAGGTTAAACGTAAAGATTCCAGGAGTGCAGGCCATATAGAAACAAATAGGTTGTCCTACCTCGGCCCGAAGACGCCGTGCGCTCCTAGAGTTTTAAGTTTGGCCTAAAGACGCCAAACAATCATGAGATCTTTATGTTGTTACTGTAGATTTCACCCTAGATGAAAAAATAATTTCGAATATGACCTATATTGAGAATTTCTTTTTCCCACAACAATATCTCAGCCATCTTCCCAATATTTTGTTCACCTACTTATTATCGAAGATATGGCAGTGACTAGTCAAAGAAGGGCGAGCGGCTGGCAATAATCCCAACTTGTCCTTTCACCGCAACCTACTATATTTCTATTTCAAAAAATGAGAAGGGAAAAAGTTTTGCACAAAATCATTTACAGCTCAACACACTGTTTATGACAAACCTAAGAAGGCGGATGCTGGCGGATTCCGATGCGGATGCAGATGACATGGTTTGTACATGATCGACAATCTGCGAGACCTGTTTGAAGATCCGTTCGACATGCATGGCAATAGTTGGATCTGAGGGTACTATGGCCACGGCTACATCAGTCATCCATGCCAGCTTTCTACTTGTTTCCTTATTAATATCACAAGCCAGTTGCTGGAAAAGAGCTAGCAATACTCCTTGGCTCAGCGGGCATGGTTTCATCGACAATATCCCTTGCAGATCGACCTGGTGAATTCAATTCACAGCAACAACTGTCAGACCAGGTCTCAAACTAGAGCCTTCTTGTGTACAACCAAGGGTTGCCGGAAAATGTTGTCATCACGAATAAAAAGAGTGAGTAAGTTTATTCATCCGTTGTTAACTTACCTGAGAACACAACCAGGAAACTATGGAGACATCACTTCTGTGCAGGGCTGCGGTGAATGCTTCATCATATTTCTTCTCAGCTATCTTTCTTCCCAACTCTTTCATTGGATCCATATGTGCCTCCGGCTGATACAAAAAGAGCATGCATCAGTTGTCTTGAGGCAGATAAACATGAATACTGACTAATATATACAGAAGAATACATTAGTCTTTGCATCAGATATTTTCTTCTTCCTTTCTATCCACAGAGAGTTCTGGGGAGATAAAGAGAGAGCAAGCGAGCATACCATCTCGTGCAGATGAGCCAATGGTCCATTACTCGATTGTGTCACCGAGTGATTTCCTGCATTAGAGTTGGCACCTGCAGCTGCCATAGCTATAAGTTTTTGTTGCCCATTTGCCAATTCTCCACTTAAAGTTTGTGTGATTGAAGCTGCAGAACTAATAGCATCCTGCAAATAGAAAGCAGGTCATCTTAAAAGACTTGGTTGTACCAGCTAAGTCTAATACAATTACGTAAAAAGCTGCCTTTGTGAATTTCATCATATTGGACAATTAAAAGTGGCTGCCGACAGCCGTATAATCAAACATCCATCATTGAAGTTCTTGGGAACAAACAAGTCTAGTACCCTAAAACCCAATACTTCAGATAATATCAAAGGCCATCCTTCTATGGTTCTGTAGATTACAGATTCCTAAATATCTATTAGTTAGTTTGAAATTCAAATTTAAATTCCTAGTCTTATCTCTAAATCAGTTTGTAGAGAAGTTTACTTTACTTGGGACTGTTCTCTAGAGTTCTATAAATTAGGGGGAAATTCTACTTCTGTAAGCAAGTGAAAATAAAAATCAGAAACATTTCTGTTCTCTCAAAAACTCACAGGTTCAATTATGTGCACATCGGTGTAAAAGTACCGGCCTATGATACTATATTCTTAGAAATCTCCCATTCAAGCACAAATCATAATATTGGGCATACATATCTACCTTCAGAACTTATCTTGGTAGTTTACAAGGTTAATCAGGCAACCAGATTTTGCAGAAAAAATGTTCGGTTAAAGCCACCTCTATCACAGTATAAGACTCATTTATGCATCATCAGTCAATCTACAGCTATCAGCAGACAGTAATAATACTGTCCTGCAACTTATCCTAGAAAAGAAATTAAGTCAAACAATATTTACGAAGACCGGTAAAGACCATTAAAGATGAGAAGAATGTTCAATTAAATTTGTTGATAGTTTTTTCTTTCAAAAAATTTGTTGATAGTTATGCTACTAAGAAAGCTCATTTTTTACACATTAAAGTGGGAACTAAGTCATCATCCAAGTAACCAACAAACTGTCACTAATTTACCGTACCTGTAGAGCAGCGACAACGGGAGAATGTGATTTTTCAAATTGCTGCCGTGCAGCAGCTGTGTGTTCTCTTATCCCTTTCTGAAATTTTACATCAATTTGCTCAAACATGGATTTACAAGACATCTCAAATGCTGGAATAACATAAGTTTCCAAGCTAGACCTCAGTGCATCCTGCAAACAAATCCAGCATTTCTCTAATAAGCAGAACGTTATCTGAGTTCAAATGGAAGATATATGACATACATTCCAACCAAAAGGTTCAGCAAAATTTCAACAGGGAGGATAACCAATAGAGGGGGATATCTTCTTCCACCATGACTCCTCAACGCCAAACTTCCAACTCCTTTCCAAATTAAGGACCCTTCATCGTGTCCTTTGAGTTTTGAGTCCATTGTTAGGGAAATTGAGTCTCAACCAAGAGTAATGAGGTCCTAACTCGTTTCATTCAAAGAAGCGTAAATTGGGAGGCGGATGAGTTAGCAAAAAAAAGGGATTGGCTAATGTTAGGAGGAAAGGTAGTCGAGTCTAGTTTGTCTCGGAAAATTGTATTGGTGTGAGTAATTTAATCTGGTTGTAATCGTGGGGGCTGTTAAACCCGTTTTTCAATAAATCTTGAGGTACTCTTTTCCCCCCTTCCGTTTTTTGTCGGTCTACCTCTCTGGTTTTCTGACAATTATGAAGGGGGTTTTTAACGAGGCCTCCAATTCTTATAAAAAAAAAGACATAAAAAGCAATGAGAAATAACCAGAGCAAATTTTGGACAATCATCTGAGGGGTTCTAAAGCTAAAGAGTTATCCATCTAACCGATCTAAATCCATATAAATGAACCTTAATCATCTAGAAGTAAATTATATTTCCTTATCAAGCTCCAAATAGGGAAAAAGAGAATGCATGGGAAGGTTCAAATGAATACAGGGGAAAAAACAACTGACATAAGTACAAAAGCGGATGCATGAACAAGAAATTACCTGAAGTGCTAGCTTCCCAGAAATTTGAAATTGTGCTTGGATTTGTCGGGCCAATGTCACTTCAAGTTTTGAACTGACGGACCTCTCCAAACGATTCACTGTCTTCTCTCCAACTCCTTTCTGTAAATTACCCAATTACAACCCCCCCGTAATATAACTACTATAGTTTTAGTGGCATAAGGGAATTGTATACCATAATTTTCTACATTTAGAGAAAAAAAATCACTAGCATAAAATGAAGCCGATTGATGAAAGAAAGCTACCACAGCAACAAATAGTGTAGAAACATTTGAGGCATCACCAAATTTTACCCAGAAACAATGTAAAAGATAGGACAAGATAGAAGGAACCTTTTCAGCATATTTTCAATAATACGATCAGCTCTGTTGAAGACTAGTTAAATTACTATTTAACATTTGTGATTCCGGAAAGAACCATATAGTGTTTAGTCTTTTTATTTAATTCATCAGTTTCATCAAATTCGAGAGAAAACAATACATTGAATACAATCTTTTTCATGACTAGTCAAGAGGCAACTGCTAACATTATACTGGTGCATCAATCCAAATAAATGAACACCACTCATATACAATACCAAACAATCTGATATGTCACCACAATTTGACCTTTCTTTATTTACCTGGAACGACTCCGTAATAGCAGAAGATATACTTTTCTCCAGAGTCGGAATAATAGCCCGAGCCACAACAGGCCCAACTGCAGCTATTTCCTTCTTTAAGGATTTCTCAAACATGGCTGGCAAGTCCTTATTAATACAGTTGGTGACCAAATTTGTTATTTGCTGCATGCGATCTCTTTCTAACTTCTCTTGTCTTGCATTTTCATCTTGGAAACGAGCCCACAAAGCATCCGTATTTGCCTTTATAGCTTTCTCAATGCTCCTGCCCAAGGATGCTTCCAGTCTTTTCCCTTCTTTGTTAACCTGGGCAGAGACAATTGCATTCATCTGCTTCTGCATTTCCTTCTGCACGCTAAGGGACTGCATGGTGCAACAAAATCATTATATTGAGAAGATTATATCACAACGTTTTTCCTAGAAGAAACAATACTTTCTTCAAAAAGTTGTCTAGCATTTAAAAAAAAACTACCTGCTGAAGCATATCCTCCATGGCTAGCAATTGGGGGAAAGTAGCATCAATTGACAGAGCCCTGGAACAGCACCCTGTTTCATTAGATGAATTTATAGAATTATACGGGCTCGCTGAAGGGGAAGATTGGATAGATACTTGAGAGGTTTTCTTCTTCTGCTTTTTCCCTTTAGCAGAAGAAGAAGATGGGAAAACAGTGACGGCAGTGTCTGTTTCACCGACCTTTAGAGAGGAATCTTTAATCACATTGTGGTCATCCCCATCTCCAGCATTACCAAGTCCATCTTGAACTGAAACACCAATAGAATTAGCTTGTTGAGCTCCCTCAACACCATAACTTTCTACACAAAATTCTCTGGCCAACTGAATGCCAAGATCCGATGCCTGAGAGTAGAATGCCTTTTCTTTGTTATCTGTAACAGTAGTATGAGAGCCTTTTTGACATTTGGTTTCATTAGTTTGAGAAAATCTTGTCTCACCAAGAACTTCATCATCTACCTCTTTTATTTCAGCATCATTCTTTACCACATCTTCGACTGTTGCCTCCCCCTCATTAATAACCTGACTAACCTGAGCACTCTCTGTCGATGAAGATACATTAGACAATATCTCAGATGGTGTTACCAGATGGGTTGGATGTTTGAACACTGCATGAGGATCAGGAACAGTTGAAATGTCATTCTGAGCAACATCTTCACCTTTCTGCAAGTGATCACCTGAGTAGGGCATTTCAACCATATTCTCCTGGACCGTATCTACTTTGTGGCCAACAGAATGATCAAGTGCTGAGTCGTTAACATGATCAGAACCTGATGGATTTCTAAAACCAGAAGATTTTGGAGTTAATGGAAGTGGAGTTGATGAAGTGTGTGTATTTTCGGCACTACTATCAGACAGTAAAGTACTTGGCTTACTTTCCATACCAGACACAGCACTCTCGGATATGAAAGCAACCTCAGAAGAAGCTGATTTTTGAGGATGGCCCATCATGGGAGCACTTTCAAAGCTGCTGGTGTTTATACATGACACCGAAATTGAGGAGCTTAGAGTCTTCTCAGTTGGTTTATATCCATGAGATAATTCCAAAGAAGCATCAGAGTTCATGCCATCATAAACATGAGCAACACTGGAATCTGTTCTATCCAGGTTTGTGTTTTCCAGGAGTGGTGGCAGGCATTGAGACAAGTCCAAAGCATATTGCTGAATAGCCTGTGTTTGAACACAGTACACTTGGACAGTAGATTCTCCACCTGGTAAACTATCACTTGTTCCAGTGAAACTCAATATAGGCATTGTGACAGTGAATTCAGCTATATAATCCATGCAGGTTGCTGCTGGATTAGGCCCATAATCTATGTGTACAGCATATAGAGCATTCTTCTTGGCATTTGCGAGCAGAAGCAGGCCTGCACGGGGAAGTGCCACAACTTGATTAAAGAATGCATTGTCAACCTCAGACTCCGCAGAACACCTCAATTCCAATGTTTGGGTACACTGCCATGATTCACCATGACTGGGCAACAACCAACCTTCTTCACCTGAAGAGGCCCATATCTTCACTTCACGGTTTAGTGGGCCCTACAAAAAATGCAAATTAGACATTTGACACAATAAAGGAGAATTTGTGCCACGCTACTAGCAGAAAAAGGGAAAGAAACAGAAGCCTACTCCTGTACTATAAAAAGGGAAAGAACCAGAAGCCTACTCCTGTACTATAAAAAGGGAAAGAACCAGAAGCCTACTCCAGTTATAACAACTATATTGTCAGGGCAATGTGGGGCAGTCAAGAATGTTGCTGAGTAAACAGGACATCCATCATGTGGTCTCAACGCTGCAAGTGGTAAGGGCTTACTATCTTCCCAAATTTTCACCTGTCACAGAAATTAAAAATTCCCATAAATATCAGCACCTAATTCAATAATAAACATAGATTGTCTACTCTGAATCTAACAAACCTAATGGAACAACCGAAACAAGTCAAACAAAAATCTTAGTTTTCTGTGCCTTAAAAAGTCAATGGCTGTCAGTTATTTGCTTTGTGGCATTCCCACATCAATAATAGTTAATAGTTACAATGAGAAAATAGCTCTGGAGAACCAAAAAACTTGTAGATGCGTTAAAATGGCCCAACATACATCACTGCAATCATCATGTTAGATGAAAGTAAAACATTATCAGGTTTGCACGCAAGTTCTGCCATGATAGGAAAACCTTTGAACTTCCAAGAGGATTTCCGTGTTCAAGAAACGGCAATCAGTCAAACTTTTTTGAAGTTTTTTTCTAAAGAAGCAACTTTATTATAAAACCAGGAAAAAAGACGAGTAGGTACAAACCGTGCCATCTACTGAAGCTGAAGATAAAAGGGTAGTCAACCATTGGCACATTGACAACTCTGTGATCTCACCATCATGTTTACCAACAAACTGAACCCCGTCAATAAGCTTGTCAACAGAGCAATTAAGAGGTTCCTTTGCCGAAAACCCTTCAAGTTTTCCAACTTCCGTTGTATCAATTTTCAGGATACGATTTCCAATAGCAACCATCAAAATCTCCTGATAGATAATATATTTTTAACATTTACAATAAGGAATGAAATGTATGGAAAGTAAAAGCAAGACTATGGAAGAACTAAAGAGACTTGGTATAACAGTTACTATTTGATAACATAAAATAAAAACCCATTTATTACTTGTTTGTAAGGATGCCAACAGACTCGTGGATGTTTCAATTCTTCTTGCCCCAAAAATTGTATGGCAATAATAACTTTGCCAAAAATTTGGGGCTTATTTTCATCATCAGGACCTTCATTGATCTTCCATACAAAACCCGTCCATCAACACTTGCACTGCAGAAAATGAAAGATGAGCATTTTTCTAACACAAATGAAGCCAGCCTATTCCAAGGGAAAGGTAAAAGGAGTACCTGGCCAAAAGGTGGACATCCTCGGCAAAAAAAGCCATATCTGTTACTCTCTACATTGGAGAGAACAAGTAATAGAAAAGGTTGAGCAGATGTTTCAAAATAGAAACTTGGTAGAAGAAAAGAAGGTATAAATATACCTGAGTGTGGCCACGAAGCAAGGATCGGAGGGCAGTGTTGATGTTGAGTATACGGATATTCCCAAGATTGAGACCATAGCATATGTAATTCCTATTAACAGCAATCTGATGACCCAGAACAAGGCTGGGATCAGAAACATACTTGGTAATGGGAGTGACCTCAAGTTGGGGCAATTCTTCACTTGGCAGCCAGACATTAATATCATAGAGAGGATTAGTTCCAAAGAGATGCCTGCCCTTGGGGGCTTTACTGCTCAGCAGTCGGAAAGGTGAGAGAGAGGGAGAGGGCGAAGAAGTGGATGGGTTCATATTAAGAAGTGGGGCAGACGGGAGAGGAGCAGGAGTTTGTGACTGAGTTTGAGTGCCCAAAAAGGCCCACAAAATGTCATTTCCTGAAGTAGGGGTGGTGGGTACTGAGGGTTGGGGTTGATAAGGAATGGTTCTATTGGTATTAAGCTGAGGATTAGGACTAGGATGAGGATGTAAAGGCTGTTGGTGTTGAGGAAGCGGGTAGGGAAGGTATTGATGGGGTTGGAAAGTGTAGGGCCTAGTAGGCGGAGGGTAAGATGAGGAAGGCACCATATAGGGACATGGAGGCAGCATGGAGGATTGGGCTGGGAAAGATGGAGATGTAGTCAGGTTGGTAGTGTTAGAAGGTGCCATTGCGTTCATGTTTTGAAGATGCTGATGTTGCAGCATAGGACTGGAACTGAGATTAAACGGTGTGCTCAAATCAAACCCTCCGATTCCACCTCCACTATCACTTTGTGGTTGAGGATTGAGATTACAAGAGGAAGCCATCTAATTCCAAATCCAAATACAATGAACTAAGGAAGAGGAGGTACAGACTTTTTCGAATCTTATTTGTGTGGAATACAAGGAATAGGAGGGTTTCATGGATCCGTCTAACTTCGGTTCAGATCAGAATTGAAACTTTAGACATCAAATTTTGAATCTCTTGCCGCCACTCTTCATGCGAGGGTGGCCCAGACTGGACGATGACTCAAAGACGCCAGTAAACTATAAAATTGAAACACAAAAGGCCTATCAGTTCTATTAGTCAAGTACTTCACTAATAAACCCTTTCGGAACTGATACAAAAACCAGAAGGAGCACTACTACTACACGATGATACATACGTACATACATTCAGTTCTATCAGGTATGCAATTTCATCTTCATCTCAAATCCAAAGCATTGAACAAGAAACAAGATTAATCTTCTCCACTTCACAACTAAAAAGAACTCTTCCTATACAGTTCGCTTTTCACGCTAACAAGTTCAAGACACAAATCTCAAGCATTTCTCACGATCTAGTACATTAAAAAAGTACTTCAATGAATGAAGGTACTGCATAAAAACAGAAAATCCGAAGGATGAAAAAGAAAAAGAAATAAAGAACTCAAACAATTCGGTAATCTAGAAATTCTATCAACATAAACGCCAATCACTGATCAAAGAATAAAGAATCTGATTGCGATGTGATCAAACACGACAAACGAAGTCCGATACACTGAATTGAAAGAAGGAAACAGATTGAAATGAATAAATGAAAACTCACATATCTACTCTGTGATGCGATTGGTTGGAACAGTAGAGAGCCGCCGCCGATCAGGCAGTGATGATATTGTTAAATGGCAATCTGGCGGCCCCACTATTTCTTTACTTCTTTCTTCTTGTGCCGCCCCCTCATCATCCTACTTTTATTTTATTCGTTTTTTTCTACCTTTTTTTTCTCTCCTTCTTCCGAATTCCGATCGTCTCCAGAAGCTTCTTTATAGTTTCATCATTCTTTCAATTTCGCATGGTTAGTTCAATTAAAAATGGAACCAATTAATGAGACCAATAATAATAATGTGACCAAGTGCAGTAGCGTTCATGTGTAAACTACTCACATGGTCAATAAAACATTTATTTTGATAAAAAAATATTAGGCCAAAAAAAATATAACCGTCACGGTCAAAAAAATGTTTCGAAAATGCGATTTCGTCTGTGATATAACGGTTTCGTCGTCGTCCGAGTTACCCGTTACACCTGTAATAGTCTCAATAGCACCCACGATGGTGCCACAATCACGGTAAATTCGAAATGACCGAAAACACGACCGCGACCGTGATTTGAAACCCTGATGACCGTTATTGACGTGAAGGTCCATTTATCATATTTGAGTTACTAATTTAGCTCATTTGTCATGTTATTCGTTACATTATTAATCATCATGGACTGCATGTTAACACTGTTGATCATTACGGCAGCACTGTAAATTATCATGTCACCATAATAACGATCAATGATAAAAAAAAACATTGATTAAAATGTCACATTAAACTTATTTTCTTAGTTGACAGATCACTTTTAAGAGAAAAATAAATAAATACAAGAATATTGATGTCTTTTTACTAAAATATTATTTTAATTTTACCATTAATAAGGACTTGCCAGCCATGTTTGAGAAATCCCTGAAGAAGGAGATAGCTGCAGTTGGCCCTGCTGTGGCTCGAGCTATTAGTCCCACTCTGGAGAAAAGTATATCTTCTGCCATTACAGAGTCATTCCAGGTAATAAATAAAGGACAAATTGTTCTGGCATATCAGATTGTTTGGTATCATTTGAGTGTTCATTTATCTGAAAAGACCATCCAGCTCAGTTGATAGAGCACAATGTTCTTAATCTTAAAGTTGTAAGATCGAATCTCATGGAGGGCATTTCATAATTTGAAGGTCTCTTACGAAAGCTGTTCTCAACCTAATATTGGGACAGCTTACTATCTTACCTCCCCTTACTCCATTACATATGAAAACAAAGAACAGCCATTTTTAAGTGTTCATTTATTTGGATTGATGCAACATTATAATGTTAAACAGTGAAAATCCAAGCAAAATTTCAAACTTCTGGAAAGCAAGCACTTCAGGGAATTTCTTGTTCATGCATCTTCTTTTTGTACTTGTGTCAGTTGCTTTTTTTTTTTTTTTGTACTTATATAGGCTGTTTTTTCCTTGTATTTATTTGAACCTTCCCATGCATTTTCTCTTTCACTCTTTGGAGCTTGAGAAGGAAAGAAAAGATACCTGGCTGTTTTTTTTTTGTACTTATATAGGCTGTTTTTTCCTTGTATTTATTTGTACTTACACAGGTGGTTGAACTTACACTTCTCTGAATTTATAGTTGACATATATATTTTTGGGGTGGCAGGGGAAGAGGACTAGATACCTGGCTAGTGTCTCCTGAAGACCAACTCTTTAGCTTTAGAACCCCTCTGATGAAAATCCAAAAACTATGCCGAGTTCTTTGGTTCTTTCTTCTTGTTTTTTTATGTCTTTTTTAGATATCCCCCTCTATTGGTCATCCTTCCTGTTCACATTTTGCTGATCTTTTTCTTTTTGGTTGGAATGTATGTCATATATCTTCCATTTGAACTCAGATAATGTTCTGCTGATTAGAGAAATGCTGTCTGCAGGATGCACTGAGGTCTAGCTTGGAAACCTATGTTATTCCAGCATTCGAGATGTCATGCAAATCCATGTTTGAGCAAATTGATGCCACATTTCAGAAAGGGATAAGAGAACACACAACTACTGCTCAACAGCAAGTTGAAAAATCACATTCTTCTGTTGTTGCTGCTCTACAGGTATGGTAGATCATGACTTAATTCCCACTTTAATGTGTTAAAAATGCCAAAGGTCAGGTTTCTTGGTAGATATTTTTGCTCAATATTAAGATTTGTGTTTGAATGGGAGATTTCTGAGAATATGTGCTTTTACACTGACATGCGCAGAATTGAACCATAGAGGGATGGGCTTTGATATTATGTGAAGTATTGGGTTTTAGGGTACTAGACTTGTTTGTCCCCAAGAACTTCAATAATGGATTATGATACACCTGTCGACGGCCAGTTTTAATTGACCAATATGATGAAATTCACAAAGGCAGCTTTTTACATTTGTGTATTACAGACTTGGCTGGTACAACCAAGTCTACTAAGATGACCTGCTTTCTATTTGCAGGAAGCTATTAACTCTGCAGCTTCAATCACCCAAACTTTAAGTGGAGAATTGGCAAATGGCAACGAAAACTTCTAGCTATGGCAGCTGCAGGTGCCAACACTAGTGCAGGAAATCCCTTGGTGACACAATCGAGTAATGGACCGTTGGCTCATCTGCACAAGATGGTATGTTTGCTTGTTCTCTCCCCAGAACTCAGTAAATAGAAAGGAAAAAGAAAATATCTGATGAGAGGGACTAATGTATTCTTTTGTATATAATAGTCACTGTTCATGTTTATCTGCCTTACACCGACTGATATATGTTCTTTTTGTAGCAGCCGGAGTCACATGGATCCAATGAAAGAGTTGGGAAGAATGATAGCTGAGAAGAAATATGATGAAGCATTCACCGCAGCCCTGCACAGAAGTGATGTCTCCACAGTTTCCTGGTTGTGTTCTCCGGTAAGTTAACAATGGATGAATAAACGCACTCACTCTTATTTGTGACCACAATAGTTTTCAACAACCCTTGGTTGTACACAAGAAGAAAGCTCTAGTTTGAGACCTGGTCTGACAGTTGTTGATGTGAATTAAATTCATAAGGTCGATCTGCAAGGGATATTGTCGATCTTCAAGGGATATTATGTAACACTCTATTCGGTTTGGAAGTCGAATAAGTTTCTAAACATACCAAAATCACATACTAAGCTACTCGTTTAATGGTGCATATAATGAAACAAATAATAATAGCAACATAGGGATGGACTCAGAGAAGTTAGAACTAGGTATGGCTTAAAGTTTTTGAAGTATGGTTATATTTTCGAAGATGAATTCTCGGAAACTAGCGGTTCTCCATCAGTTAAACGTCTTCATTAATCGAAGGTCTCTAGCTAAAAATGGATGTCCCTTTTTCCCATATGTATGGGGTAAGGGGAGGTAAAATAGTAGGCTACCCCCAACACCAGGTTGAGAGCAGCTTCCGTAAGAGACCTCCGAATTATGAAATGCCCTCCGTGGGACTCGATCCCACGACCTCAAGGTCTCTAGCTAACATGAATGCAATCAAACCCGTGTCACACTGTACAAGTTCATACCAACATGACATGTACATATCAAGCTACATTCCATTACATCATAGTACTGTAAACTCTTTCCATATCATGTGAATTCATTCATCATATATCAAATCATGGTATATCATGCTAACATCTTTTTAACATTTATCAAAATTTGTAACCGTAATTTTAATCATTAATCATCATTTTTAACGGCCCGGTTAACAAAAACTGTTTAATATTAACAGTTTGATTAAATAACCAATGTGATAGTTGAGTGACTAAATACATAATTTATCATTAATCATAACATGAAAATTTTGTGTTCATCGTCTTCTCCATCTTTTGGATTTCCTTGCATCATATCAGACACCAGAAAACATGATCTTGATTTGTAAACTAAGGGGAAGAAATTTTGATATTTGATACAGCTTATTCTAAACTTACTAATACAAAACCTCATTTCTCCATGTCTTTGGAGAGAACTGATCTAATGTGATGAAAATAAATTACACAGTATTAACATGACTATAAACAGTACTCCATATTTTAAAGTACCTAATATTGGTACCTACATACACAATTATTATTATTTGGTTTCATTCTCTTGAAAGTAAAAAAAAATGATAGAAAACAAAGATGGTAGTCAGCTTTCGCAGCAGCAGCAGCAGCAGCTAAATCATGAACGCGGTCGATTACAATGTCATGGGGTAGCAATCCCCTTCTTCACCAGCATATCATAAACTCTATCGATCTTGCTTGGTTCAATCTTGAATAAGCGATGAGCATCCGCTTTTTTACTGATGTTGCCATTGAAGATCTCTTCTGAAATGATCTGCAGCATCCTCAGATAAAGTGGCGGAGGCAACCGGATCTCACTGCACAGTCGCTTCTCCTGCCAACATACACGACCATCAATGGTTACAATTTGCTTAATAGCTCTAACAAAAATTACAGTGAGGAGCACTCGCAGGCTGCAAGCAAACTCCTACCTCAAGGCTAGACCCGTAAACGGGGGAGGAGGGATCTGGTTGATTTTGGAATCAATTCAGTTCGGGTTTTAATTTTTTTTTTATAGTTTTGGGATCAGGTTGCTTCAAGTTCCGGCCATTTTTTATTCAGATTACAATCATTTTGTGATCGGTTTATTTTCAGGTTTGGGTTCATGTAGTTGACTTTTATGGTCAAGTCAAGTTGGTTGGGCTTGGATTTAAGTTAATATGGCCGGACTTTCTAGTTCAGGTCAAAATTGACAAGTTTACTCGAGGCTAAGGACTAAACGGTTCTCTTGAAAAACAGCATCAGATCAGATGAGAATATAGAGATTAGGGATATAACATACAGTTTCAGACAGTAACTGGGTTTCTGCGAATCCCATTATGTCCAAATCTTTAGCATAACTTGCAGAAGCCTGTGCTGTTGGTCTTGAATTTGAGTCCTTGCCAACCGACTCAGAAGCCATGAATGAGTTTGGGGCTGCCTGGCCACCTGGACCAACCTGGATTCCATCTTTTGCTCGGTGAGAAGTTTCTTCAGCTTCCCTTTTCCTCTTTTGTTCAAGATATCGGTCCGCCTCAGCTGATGTTCGACAACCAGCTGCTCGGGCTTCCTGCACATAGTTATTTCAACTGACAACAATAAGTGACCATATTATGAAGATTAGATATGCAAACAACGTAGAAGGTAGAAAATGTGGCCAAGCAACAATTCCAGGCATGAACAAGACCTTGAGTTCTTCAATCCTTTTTAAAGTCCGGTGCTCAGCGATAACCGTCTGAAGCAATTCGTCATGTTCTACCTTCGAATGAAAGCGCATGAAGACGTCATAACGTCGGCAAAGTGCCCTCTCCTCAGGAGATAAGTCCTTCTCAAAAGGATTAGGATATAACAAATTTCTTTCGAGAATGAAATCCTTTCGGCGCTTCCTCTCATCCAGCCTAACAGTAGATTCGTTTCAAGCATGAGGCAGAGAAAAATATTGCACATTTCTTATAACTATAAGAGAAGTTTTGTTTTTCCTGGATGAGAAACATAATGGGAAATCAATTCAAGATCCAAAAATTATAGACATAAGTCCTTCCCCAACCCTGAAAACTTTCTATTCTACGCCATATTATTCCGATGTGCTAATATGGGCTTTACTTCTTAACATCTTACAAGTTTACATGAGTGGAATCAATTACCACTACAGCCTGAATCAGATTACCAGCTGCTTACCTCTTTGAATAGATACGCAACACTCGCAGCTTAAGCTCCCGCTCCTCCTCAGTATCAGTGTCTTTAAATTCCATCTCAGCTAGTAACTGCTCTGCATCATTGTCATACTCTGGATCGAACTCCTGCCTTTTGATGTTATAACCACTCAACTCAACTAAAGAAGGACCATCATTTCCCGGCGAATTTGGCTTCTTTCCCCCAAAATTTCTGTCAACTTGATGATCTAAAAGGCAATAATAACAATGAGTTATACTGGAATAATGGCTCATTATGTACAAAACTAAAAATGGCTCAGTGTCATATGGGCTATATATTTACCAGAATAATGAAAATTAAAGGGAACGGACAGAAAGTAAAAGATATCAGACCTTCCATTTTAACATTTCCATCTTTAACCTGGGTCATGTTCGATACCTTCATAACATCTCCCGATGGTGTACTGTTACTGTTAGAACGCACCCCCGACTCTACATCTGAAGTTTGTAGAAGAAAGTAAGCATGAGGATCACGATGATCACATTATTTGTGCACATACTAAAATAAATTAAAAATCTCCAGGACGGGAAAGAAAAATGATATATAATGCTCACCTGCATTTAATGCAGACATTAATCGACCACAACTACCACCTTCAACTCTGGGTAAATCAATAAAACTCACATAAGAAACAGCATAGATGCAAAGATGATACAAACAGAGAGGAGAGTGGTATTCATACTTGACTCTTGAAGGTGAAAAAAGAGATTCTTCTTTCACTGAAAGCTCCCCAAGCATGGGTCCTGAGACCCTCACAATAAATTAATGATAAGCATTTGCAATAACAGAAGGAAACAAATTATAATTCAGGAAGCGTCTGCAGCACATGTAGCCTGCCTCAGACCATGTTCAGTGTTCACTCTCACTCTTTTTATCTTCTCTAGAGAGAGAATTTTCGCCACATAAATGAAAGAAAGTTTCAAGCGAAAAGGAAAAGAAAATGAATCCAAATTTCCCTTAGTATCCCACACGCCTTGGAACTCCACCAAATGAAAAAGAAAAGGTTGGGGGGTGAAGAACATATTGAAGAATATAGAAAAGAGAATAACTAAAAAAATTTACTAACCTTTCTTGTCCTCAGTATGCCCTTTAGCCATAGCAAGAAGCTCTTTTCTATTTTTACCAACAACATGAGACATATCCTTTGAAGAAATAAAGTTGTCAAATCTTAACAATATTCATGAAAAGACAATTAATAAGGGACTTGATAGTTTTAAACTCTCATACCGGAAGAGGGAAGAATGGGGACTTCATATAAATATTAGTATAATGGTTAATGCACTTTTCCTTGCTCTTAGTGCCCACATGCTCGGCAACTTCTGTCCAGTTTCCAAGGCCATACATTTCAATTCCCTATAATTAGAAAAGACAACAGCAACAAGATTGTTTCCTTGATTATTACACATATAAAATTCTGTACACAACAAATCAAGGAGGAATATACATAAAATCTCTTCACTGCTTTAAGAATGAGAACAAACATAGAAATACCTCTAGAAGCAAAATTTCTTCGTCTGCATTCCAGTCAGGACAGATAAGGGGAAAAGATAAGTTGTCCTGTTAATCAAAACTCAGCTGTCAGCACTGAATCAAAACATAACCAAGGTACAGCAACAGATACATGATACAGAATAAATAAGCAACAAAAGCTAATGTCACAATATAGGAATCAACGCTGCTAAATGGGCATAAAAGACTTGGAGAACAGATTTTTCAGATGGGAAAAAGTCATCAAAAACTATGCATTAACATAAACCAGAAAAAGGAAAATTGACAATTGTGTGTTATCAGGACAGGAGAAATTGTTTCCAGAAGGCTTTTACTAACCATGACCCTGTAAGGATGGCTGCTTTTATGGGGTGTAACCTCAGCTCCAACAGAAAAGCACTCTATACATAGGTCGAAATCAGGACAATTAGCACATTTGATACGGATTTTTCCTGTGATGTCTTTGTTGCAGTAATTGCAGTGGTATAAAGCCCTTTTCCCTTCACTTGTTCCTTGACCTAGCTCCAAAACAGATATAAGATGAGGGAAATGGAAAGGGTAAAAAAAAGCTCATGAATGAACAAGAAATTGCATGTAGAGGATTAACTGTTAAGAGTGAAATGATATTCTACTGAACAAAAAACAATTTAGCATTCTAGGAGGACCAATAATTTTAAAATAACCAAAAAATCAACAGCACCATATCATACCGTTTATAATCTTGATAGAAGCTGATCATAACACTATTATATCTAAACATATATTAGAACTTTTACACATGCAAGATATGCATGCCAATCTGCTTTAGATAGATTTATGGGTCAACTTTTAGAAACCCTATCTAGGTCTAAAGTAAAGACGGAATATAACAAAATAGAATGCAAACTTTGTTAAGTTTTGGCAGCAAATTCTCTACATTCAGAGGGTATTTATTGATTAGTTACTAGAAGAAGTAATCCGGAAGATTCCAAATATTTAGCAATTCCTATTTCTCAAATAAATAAAATGGCCATTGTTGTCTCTTGAAACACCCTTGACACACTCTCCATAACTTCCCTACAATTAAATTTCCATTACTGGATAAAAACATGGATATGGTGGTCATCTCATTTTTTTTTCAAATAATTGCATCGTAAAAACAACTTTCTGCAGCAAAATTCATTCTAAGAGGGTTGCACTTGGAAATTGTATAAGATAGAAAAGCACCTGAAGATGAAGATTCTAAATTTTCTCCAGCAGATGCATTCTTCTTTCTCCTTGATCTGCATAACAAGAAAAGAGGTATTTAAATGAAGCAACCCAAAACAGAGAACCACAAAAACAATCATTAACTGATTATATCACAGTAAGAAATTTAAAGGAAAAAAATGATGTTAAGCAAACTAATAATTGATTATTACGCAAACACATGGGAAAAGGCTGCAAGTTATCACAAGGAAAGCAAGACAACGATCATTTATCATTTGTTTATCATAAAATTCATTACAGCAAGAGATTTAGATTCTGAGAAAGTCAGATCCACCATTAAAAGAAACTTCATAGTTAATAAACTAACAATCCAGTAAAACTAAATGGAAGAGTAGAATAGTAGATAATCAAATCCATTAAAACAACTGGAGGAAAACAGAGAAAAAGTTAATTTAAAACAGAAACTAACATATCAGGCTGCAGTAAACACTATTCTCAGTAGTGCATATGTGAGTTGCATTTCCATCTCTAAACGTATTTGTTATACCAAGATATGAGCAAAGCTACATGCCAAAGAAAGTTCAAGACCACAAGAGCTGAAACACTCAGCATGACCATGGAGCAAACCACCTGGCACTGCAAGTAGCTTCCAAATACCAGTTATCGAGTCGGAAAGGACCTCAAGCAACTTAGGTTGCAAGGCTGACAAACAGGTGATCACTAGACAGATCAGGATGTCAATATGGGTAGTCGAGAAGCCAATGAACATACATGAGCAAACCAACTGGCACTGCAAGTAGCTGCCAAATACCAATTACCGAGTCAGAAAGGACCTCAAGCAACCAAGGTTGCAAGGCTGACAAACTGGTGATCACTAGACAGAACAGGATGTCAATATGGCCAGTCGAGAAGCCAATGAACATCCATCAAGCAAACCTTTGGACAGCCCAAAAACTAAAGTACGAATCTCTTTCTCTCTCTACACTTTCGATTCAACTACTTTCCGTGTTTAAGTTCTTGCTTCCCTCTCCATTCAACAACACTCTCTGCTCACTTAAGCAGAGGAGAGCATTCCAGAGCATAAGCTTTAACACCCTCTAGCTCACATTCATCTTGAAGCAACCCATATTCTCTAAACTCATAGCTGACCTTCCTCAAAGAGTACGTCAACAATCAATCACCAAAAGAGCATCAACGGTATTTAGGCAAATTTGAACATTTGAACGGGTCCTTGTGTTCTTTTTACGACTAAAAAAATGAAGTAACCAAAACTGCAAAAGTTCCAACTCAAACCAACAGGTGCAATTTCTGAATAATCTTCGCCCTTCACCATGCAAGCTCCAATGCAGACAAGATTATTTGATACAAACATAATTCCACCCAATAATTCTTCAAAATAGGAAAAATTAAAGAAAGAAAAAGAAGGCTAACCTCTGAGTGGGATCGTCATCAGCAGAGTGAAAATTCCCGCGAGAACGACCCATTGAAATTTGAAGTAGTGAACCCTAGTTTCTCAGGAAAGTATGAAACTTTGACAAAGGAAATATCAGCTTACGAAAAGGAAATATCAGCTTACGAAGAAGAAGCGAAGAAGGGTTTTGAATTTGATGGGTTTAACTGAATTTCATAAAATTTGTATAAATTTTAAATCTTTATGAGGATTGGGAATTGGACGAATTCAGTTGTATGTTTATACTAAAAATTATGAACAATTATTTGGTCTATTTGCTGTTAAGTACTTCGTTTGTCAACTGCAAACACCTTCGTTTTCGTTTTACATTTGATGGTTAAACTACAAAATTAGTCACTAAACTTTATGATCTATCTCATATTGACCACTAATTCAATTTTATCACTAATTTTTTAAATTAAACCTTTTGTCACTAAATTAGTCACTAAACTTTATGATCTATCTCATATTGACGTGTCTTAATGTAAAAGAAAAGTATATATTTATTTTCTCTTTTTTTTATCTCATTATCTTATTTTACTATATCAGAATACTTGTATTTCAACTCATGTTCAAATCATAGTTATCAAATTAAATTTTTGGCAAAAAGCATCAAAGGTACAGGTAGTTTTGATAAAAAAAAATATTAATGTATTCATATTATTTTTTTCTTTTAATATGGCTCTCTAACTCGAAAGATAAATTCAATGTGGCCCTTTGACCAACGTTTTTTCGTCATTGACCGTTACGGTATTGGTGTGCCAATTCATGGTGGTCCACAGTGCTAATGTGGCAATGTATCTATCATTTTTGAGTTACCAATTAAGCTTATTTATCATGTCATCTGTCACGTTATCAATCATCGTTGACCGTCACATCAACACCATGGACTGTCACCTTAGTACAGTGAACTGCCACGCTAGTACTATAACAGTAAATGACAAAAAACGTTGGTCAAAGGGCTACATTAGATTTATTTTCTGAATTGGAGGGTCATATTGAAAGAAAAAATAATATGATAGTCATATTGACTTTTTTTTAAAGTAAAGGGACCTTTAATGTATTTTTGCCTAAATTGGTTTTCATCGGGGTGGCGGAGACGGTTAACAAGTGAACGAATCTGGAACTTAGTAATATAACAGTAAACATGTAGCACACAACTAATTTCTTCATCAACTGAGTTTCGTGATAGATCAACAATAAAGTCAATTTAGCTTGGGATGCTATAAGTGCTATAGAAAAATGACCCTAATGTTTTTCATAGAAGGTGGCTAGTCCTTCACACTTATGTAGGTGGCTTCATCAAGTTTATCTCAATATAGACCACCCAAATTATGGATATGAAGTCATTAAGAGTATTTAGTACTCAACCTCACAATTAATATTCGGTGAATTCATCAAGTCCGTCTCACGAAGACCACCCTAGTCATGGGCTATGAACTCATTAATAGCATAAGTTTCTCCTTTCATATTGATGGATTCATCAGGTCCTTCTCACTAGGACCAACCAAAACATGGGATGTGAATCCATTAACAATTTGAAAACTCAACCTCAGTTGTGCATAGTATGCCATATGGATAGGAAATAACATACTAAATTTAATCAATGGGCTTAAGACCCATCCTCTTGACTTATCAAAAATAATTTTCCTATGTAACCCTTTGGGCAATGAATCAGCTAGGTTCATTTCTGATTTCACATACCACATAAAGAGTACATCATTCTTTACTAAATGTCTCAGACATTCATGTCTTATCTGAATATGCCTTTTCTTACCATTATAGACTTGATTTATAAAATATGAAATAAGAGGCATAGGCCTTCCCCACAAAGGAATCTCTGCAAATAGATTCCTAAGCCACTCGACTTCTTGTCCATTTAAGTCAAGAGCTATAAACTCTGATTCCATAGTGAAGCGAGCAATACACGTTTGTTTAGCAGACTTCCACAAAATTGTTGCCCCTCCCAATGTGAAAACATAGCCACTAGTGAAACTAACTTCATCATTGTCAGTTACCCAATTAACATTACAATATCCTTCAAGGACTGTCGGATAGCCAACAAATTGCATACCCCAATTAATAGTACCTCTAAGATATTTTAATAAATGTTTAAGTCCATTCTAGTGTTCACTACTTGGGTTATAAGTATATCTACTAAGTCTACTGACAACATAAGCAATATCTGGTCGAGTATAGTTCATTAAGAACATAAGACTTCCAATAATCTTGGCATACTCACTTTAAGATATACAATTCCCTTTATTCTTTTTAAAAAGTATGCTTGAATCATACGTGGTTCTCACAGAGTTTACATCAAAACTATCAAATTTCTTTAATACTTTTTCTATATAGTGAGATTGATTTAAAGAAAAACCCCTATTAGATTTATTAACTTTTACCCTTAATATTACATGTACCTCTCATAAATCGGTCGTTTTAAATATTGTAGATACAAATTTCTTAGTTTTCTTAATGACTTCAATGTGTGCACCAAAAATCATTAAGTTATCAACATAAAGACTAATAATAACATGATTCGATTCAAAAATTTTAGTATACGCACATGCATCAACACCATTAACTATGAAACTATAACTAAGAATAGTTTTGTGAAATTTTATGTATCACTGTTTTGGAGCTTGTTTATGGCCATACAAGAATTTTTTGAGTCTGTAAACCTTATCCTCTTTTCCAGGGACCGTGAATCCTAAAGGTTGCTCCATATAGATCTCTTCATCTAAATTTTCATTCATTCAAAAATGTTGTCTTGACAACCATTTGGTGCACCCAAAAAATTATGAATTGAAGCTAAGGAAAACAATACACTAACAATTAAGATCTTAGTCACAAGAGAATAAGTATCGAAAAAATCAACTCCAAATTTTTTATGGAATCCCTTTACATCTAGTCTTGCCTGATACCTTTGTATTGACCCATCTGGTCTTAGTTTCTTTCTAAATACCCATTTATTACTAATGAGCTTACAACCTTTAGGCAAATTCATTAATTCCCAAATGTAATTAGACAAGATAGATTCAAGCTCATAATTAGTTGCACTTCTCCAAAATTTAGCATTGATAGACTTAATAACTTCATCATACATTTTTGGATCATCGCCTATTAAAAACATATGAGATACAGAATCATTAATCGGGTCTAAGTCATCAAGTTCAACAATAAATGAAGTAAGAAAATCTGGACCAAAACTAGTTGTAACTTTCTATCTTTTACTCCTCCTAGGTTCATTAAAAAGATCAATATCTCTAGTATAGAATAGATATATTTAGGGGTGTAAACGAGCCGAGTCGAGCTCGAGTAGTGCTGAGCTCGACTCGACTCGAAAACTCGAAATCATGAACTGAAGCTCGTGAGCAGCTCAAAAAGGCTCGAAATGAAGAAAAAAAAATCTTAAACTTAACTCGATTGAAACCTCAAACTCGAACTTGAACCTGAACCTTAAATACATTAAAATGTTACTGTATTTTTTAAAATATCAATACATAAATGTTAATATTATTAATAATTTACTTTTAAAAAAAATAAAATCTTAATATATTATGTTTTCGAGCTTCTCACGAGCTTTTCGAGTCGAATACCAAGTAGCTCGTTTCGGCTCGTTAAGAACTCGAGTCGAGTCCATTCGATCCGAGTATTTATCGAGCTTTGATCGAGTCGATCTCGAGTATCTCACGATCTGTCTCGTCTCATTTACAACCCTAGATATATTACTGGATTTGAAAAGCGATAGATCAGAAGTTATTTAAAAGAAGTATGGTTACAGTTTTAAAGATGATGGAAAAAATCAAGGAAACGGTGAAAATGAAATTATGAGGAAAACAACTTACCGTGAGGGATATGTAAATAGAGTACTAAGCATGACAACTAAAGTATGATACATTTTTTCCCTCTTTTGAGTTGATTTTTATTCAACTTTGGCTGCTTGTAGAGATGATCGTAGGTTTTCTACTTTTGAGTACAATGAAAATATTCATCTAAAAATATGGGTAAATTAAACAAATCATCACTGAATTTTATTATTTCTCTTATTTTCACTAAAACGACGTCATTTTGTATCAATATAACGGCCAATTTATGACACCGTTAGTGAGGAAACGGTGGAGTGACGAAAAAACAAATGTATTAAGTTTACCGAGAAAATTGAACATATTTAAAGTACAGTGAGTGGAATAGGAGAGAGAGTAAAGTTCAGTGATGATTGATGTTATTTACCCAAAATAATATTTAGTTAACCATTTTTTTATGACAGACATTCAAAATAAAACTAAAACATAATGTTATAGATTGTTTGTTTGGCTCTGAATAGAATCATTCAACGCTGAATGCTGAACCGTTCAGCATTCAGCGTGTTTGTTTCTCACCTTTGAATGATTCAGTGCTTAATCATTCTGAAGTAAACAAACAACCCTTTAATAATGATTTTTTTAAAAAAAAATAGATGACCAAAAAAACAAAAATGATAATTGAATGACTAAATACATAATTTACTATTAAAGATTTTAGTTAAGCACTTAGACCCCCGTTTGATTCATGGTATAATTCATTCCTGAGAGAAATGTTTTTTTTCCTGATAAATACGATTGGATGGAGACAGATTACCAAGTGCGTAAAACATAATACCAACAGTGATTTAGTTTACTGTTTTCCCAGGAATATCCATCCCTCATCTCCCGTATTTGATTATTCTCGTCCCTGTTGTCTAAAATAGCCCTCCCCACTTCGTTCTGGCTATCAGGATTCTTTGAAATTCCGGCCGTGCGTGATTTCCATCTGCCTTCCATCGTTGCTCCCCTGCTTCGATGGGTAGTATTATGGTGTTGATTCGCCTTTGTGTTCTCCTCCTTATATGGTTGAAGGGGATGCCAAAATATGGGTCATCGTCTTTGATGTCCGTGGAAGTCGAGAACTCTCTGTCTCCACATTCTTCATTCTAAATCTGGTAATTCTCTGGCTTTTTGATTTATTTATTTTTGTTAATTTTCATTCGCATAAACTTTGAAAGTTTTGAATTAGAATTATGAATTAATTGAAATTTATATGCATGAATGAATGGGAAATTTGTGCGAATTAATCATTCATTGAAACTATGCGAATGGAAAATTTTCGAGCTCTTGTTTTCAGATATAGTATTAGGTTTTTTTAAATATATTTTAGTTGATAAATTTGTATTGATTGAATTTTTTCGAACTAATCATTCATCGAAACTGAATTAGGTGGAAAGATCATTGTCATACAATGAGCAGAGGCCGAAAAGCCCTCCACCGGACTTACCTTCATTGCTTCTTAACGGTAGAATAGTTTACATTGGCATGCCGGTGAGTATTCCCGAATTCCGATTTAAAAGGGTGGGTGGGTGGGTGAGGTTTATAAATTGTAAATGTTTTCTGCTGCATATGCTTTACCAAATTAGAAATTATTTTTATAAAAATTGCAAAATTTGGTTGAGGATAACTGGAATTTCATGTTTTTGCAATCTTGTTAAGAGTTTTGAGATAACTATTTCCTGGAAATTCTTGTTCCCGAGGGACAATCTGTATCTCTATGTATTAGGATCCTAATTCATGGATCTCTCAGTACAAGAAAGCAAACCAAGAGTATCATTTCCTATATCATACTGTTTTGTTGTTACTGTAATTTGTTCAAATAGTTTGATCGTTTCTACCTTTCAGCTTGTGCCTGCAGTGACAGAGCTTGTAGTTGCAGAACTAATGTATCTTTAATGGATGGATCCCAAGCAACCAATCTATTTTTACATAAACTCTACGAGAACAACTCGTGATGATGATGAAACGGTGAGCTTTGCATATGGTACCTTCAAATTTGATAATGAATTTAAGATGTAATACATTATGGATCGCGTAGCTTCTGGAGATGTTAGACTCATACCTTGGTTCTCATTTAATAAGTAAAAAAGTCAGTTGAGTTAAAATTTGGATTTTCAGTCTTTTGTGTAGATTAAGTGCATGTAAACCTACAAATATGAAACTGTATATAAACCCGAATAGTATCTGAATTGTAAACACTAGCTTCTTCTTCCATGCTGGCGCTTCTTCTGCTTGTCATGCATTATGTTCGCTTCTGCTCGCTATACGTACATTAATTTAAAGCTCTTATAATGCAGGTTGGCTTGGAGATGGAGGGTTTTGCCATCTATGATGCACTTATGCAGTTACAAAATGAGGTGAATTTTCGTTCTTCAAAGATATCAGTCTGTCTCGTTTTCTATATTTTGTTAAGAAAATTTTCTCTGGATGTCTCGAGTTTATGTTACTTTAGCTCAAGAACGAGATTTAATTTTTTCTTTATTCACCGAATTCCTTCATAACTTGGTAATATTGGTTCCCCACAGGTGCATACAGTTGCTGTTGGGGCTGCTGTAGGTCAGGCTTGTCTTTTGCTTTCAGCAGGAACTAAAAGGGTAAACAGTTCATGATGCCTCATGCTAAAGGTACGATGCAGCTATCTTGTCTGTGATTCTAAACTTATTTCGACTCTCTCCTATGATGCTATCTTTTAAAATATAACCTCTTGAGTGTTTGCCTGTATTCTATTTCAGCTATGATCCAGCAACCTCGTGTCCCGTCATCAGGGTTGATGCTGGCCAGTGATCTTTTATACGTGCCAAAGAGGTTTGGTAAAAGTTATTATTCTTTTCTGAGTAAATGTAATTAAGCATGGGACACACTTGTGGAACTTCTGTTACATTACTCCAATTAACAATAATTTCTTGGAACTTCTGTAAATTGTTTTGGTACCCTTCTTTTAGGCCACTTTATCTAACCGTAAATTGTTTTGCAGGTACTAATAAACAGGGACACACTTGTGGAACTTCTGGCCAAGCACACTTGTGGAACTTCGGGCTGTTTCAAAGGTTGATATATGTCCATTCTTGTGCTTTAATAATGTTGTTTCCTGTTGTGCTGCTGAAAGTTCGATAGCTAGATCCAGTGTGCCGCCTACATAGCGTCTGTAACAAGAGTCCGACTCGTAGAAATCATCTGTAACAAGTGTCCGACTCGGTAGAAATCATCTTTCGAGGAATCTTGAATATGCAGGAAGGAACACCATTACAATGATACATTTAGCTGAAATATACTGCTCGAAAATTTTCCATTCGCATAGTTTCAATGAATGATTAATTCGCACAAATTTCCCAATCGTTCATGCATATAAATTTCAATCAATTCATAATTCCAATTCAAAACTTTCAAAGTTCATACTTAATGAAGATGTAAAATTTAATATTAATTAAAATTAAAATAATACATGATATATTTAAATAATAAAATAATAAATTATCGATGAATTTTTATATAAATAATTTTTATTTAAATATATTATCGATGAATTTTTATATAAATAATTTTTATTTAAATAATTAGAATTTCATTTGTTAAAAAATACAGAACAAGGTCAATTTGGTAAAATATATATTCTATTAATCTTTTATTCATTCAACCAAACATTATAATCTTACATTACTGCCAAACAAACCAAATACAGTAATGTAATGTGTTAGGTAATATTACATTCCGGTAATCCTATTCTTAATGGTAATCTTATATTCCGTAAACCAAACGCCCCCTTAAAAGAATATGTATCTATCCGATGTGTGAGAGGTTTTTTTTTTTGCATTACTATTACTAACGATCTCCAACGAAAATAAAGACGACTGAGGTTCAGCCCACAACCCAAACGAGTAAGATCCACCGTTGATATAATTTCTTGAAACCGAACAAACCCTAAATCTCTAAGATAACCCTAAGAAGACTTCACCCTTCAACACCACTATATAGTCTGCCAAAAATCTAAGTTTGCCAAACCAAAACCCTAATTCCCCTGCAAACATTCTTCTCCCCTGCAAGATCGTAAAGAATTGGGTCAAGAAGCTTAAGGTTTCAGTTTTTTCTTCTGTTTTCAGTATTTTAATTGGAGATTTGTTCGTCTGGAAGAGGTGAAAATGATGAGAGTTGTTGTCGCCCCAGTCTTACTTTGCATGTATCTAATGTCTTCATATGCGAAGTTGGTGATTGACATTCTAATCTGATTCTTTTCGTCTTTATGTTATATTTAACAAGATTTTGATTTCCTTTTTTACCCTTTTGATTGGATTGAAATGGTTTGAATCTTTGAAATGTGCGAAGAGATGTGATGATGCTAATCCATAGTTTCTGCATTTGAATGATGAATAACAACATGCACTACCATCTGATCTCTTCTGCTCATTGTTTACCCCCTTAGATTTGGGGTCAATTTTAAAGTGATTTTAACTATTTCTTTTGTTAATGTGATTTCGTGCAATCCATGATGGGCATGAATCATCAGACCTGATCTATCTGTGATGATTATATATAATCACCTTCTTTCGACTGAGATTGCTTAACTTTTTTCTTCAAAAATTACATCTTTAAACAGAAGCATTCATGTTTCACATACTCATCTTGAGTAGAGGTGGATGCTTGTTAATGTTTATGTCAATGCTAAGTTTGCTTTTGAGAACATTTTTGGTATGGTTGTTGCCCATGGTATCTGATGTCCAGTATGTATTTGTAGCTGGAGATCTCGTTTTGATGGGCAGATACAAATTCATGAACAGGTCTTGCGACACAGTTAGCTATTCTGTTCACAAGCTTGCTGTTACTAAATCCCTGCTCACATTTTTTCCTCTTTTGGAGTCTTTATTTTGGCAAATTATTTTTGGATAATGTGATGCAAAAAATGATTTAGGGTGGGAGAATTATTTTGTGACATGATTTGATGGGTGTTTTTTAATCAATATTTTTAACATTTCCGGTAAAATGTCTAACAATAACAAAATCAATAAAAAAAATAATAAAACCGGTAGCGTTTTATCGGTTTTGTTAAGAAATATGGTAAAATGCCTAATAATAATGTTTTCGGTAATTTTTATCGATTTTGTTATTTAAATAATAAAAAATTAGTAGTGTTCTTTTTAATTGTATATTAAGGTGTCACATGTGATCATTTCTCGGTTAGGAGGCATGTCTTGGTGTGGGGTGATCTTCCTTGGATTTTCGGGTGTCTTATGCTGATTTGGCAGCACACATGTAAAGTGGCTCCCTTGTCCATTTAGGGTTGTGGAAAAATTATTTTCTCATATAAAGTATACATCATATTAGTTTTTGAATTAGGGTTTTATTGGTTTGAAGACGTCGTGCACCTTTGGGGTCTTCTCCGTTTGCATGAAGATGTCATGCAGTTTGCATGAAGATGCTATGCAATCGTGAAGTCTTTATATTATTTTCAAGTATTAGTTAGTGGTCTTCGTATCTGAGTTCTAAAAACTTGGCTCAATTCTTGACCCATTATAGTCAGATACCCACATTTTAAGATTATTGGTACTTAATTTTATATTTTTTCTAAATTATATTATTTTAAAAATTCACAAAGAAAAAAAATATGAAAATTAAAGATGTAATTCATAAATAGAATTTGGAAATTTAAATTAATTAATCTAAAGATAAGATTTGAAATTTTAAAAATATTAAAATTTTTTGAGGTTAAGAAAATAATTTTAGAAATAATTTAGAACGCTAGAGATGAATATTTAAAAAAATAGAGATTTAGAATATGAGTGTAACATAGTTTTAATAAATAATAATTTAAAATTAAAATATTAGAGTTGACCAATTTTAGAATTGAGAATCAAAATTTTAATCTAAATTAAAATATAAAAACATTAAGAACCGATTACCTAATAACTTAATGGGTTGAAAAATACAGCTTGGTCCTAACTGTGAATCTGTAAAAATTAGTGTGCTGGGTACTCGATTAAAAATTATTGTCAAATCAAAAAAATATTGAATTAGATTATATTCAATTATTATTTGATTTTGATATAACATGAATCATCAAATGATTTATATTATTAGAATTTGAATTTAATAATATTATGAAAATTTCATAAAATGTTTTAAGGTTGTGAAAAATAATTTTAAGTGTTTTTGAGTCATTATAATTTATAAATATTTTTCAAAACAAAAAAAATTGATTTTGTCAGAAATCACCCATTAGTCTCGAAACCAATAATCCAATATTGATATTTGTTTTCCATAATATATTTTTGGTATCAATATCAAGGTGATGGTATCGATACCGATAGGAGAGTATCAATACTCACTACAATGATATCGATACAAAAGACTTCAACGATTATATTTTTTTTATTGTTAGGATGATCGGTCTCGATACCCACTTTCGGTATCGATACCTGTAACATCCTCCATGTCGGGTTAGTGATTAATTTGCAAAGTTTCAACATTTGGTGATTAAAGTAGAATAATTATATAGTTTAAATAGTATGGTTAGTAAATATGAGATGGGGTAAGGACCAAATGGTCATTTGCAAGGAATTTCTAATTAAAATAAAATGTTATGGGGTATATGAGAACCACGTGTGATTTTAGGTTCCAGAACCTCCCATTTCTTCTTCCTTCTTCCTCATTTTCTTCTCTTCCTTCTCTCAACGTGTGGCTTGCAATTAAAGGTAAGAAACTGAACTTGGTAGTTTCTTTGATTGTTAAGATTGGAAATGAAAGTTTGTATGTTATATAAGCTAAAGGAAAGCTTATATGACATTAAAACAACAAGATTAGTGTTTTAGAGATAGATTTGGAAAATGAGTTTTTAGATGAAATTTTGATATGGATGAGTTTTTGATGTTTGAATCAGATTTTTGACTTGTCAATAAGCTAATTAAGAAGTATGAGGGGTTAGAATTCAAATTAGAACATATTGGAATTTGGGTTGGATTCTTAAATTCTACATGGAGAATTGGATTTCTAGGTTTTAGAGGTATTTAATGGATAATAATTAGTTTAAGTAAGTGTATGAGAGCTAAGAGTAGTAAAGGGATTGAAATATGTATGTTTGAGCTGAAATGGAATGATTTCCGAGCTCAAATTAGGATTTCTGGGTTAGGGGAATCGGTACCCATTCAAGGGGAACCGATACCCCCTCAACGAAATGAATTTCCAGATTGCTAGAGGGGAATCGGTACCCCCAGGGGGGGAACCGATACCCCCTCATCGTATATGAAATTCCAGATTGCTTGAGGGGAATCGATACCCCCAGGGGGAACCGATTCCCCCATGAGAAAAAGAAGAAGAAAGAAAAGAAAGCAAGACTAAGCTATAAATTCTTTAAATTAGTAAGCTATTAAAGCTTAATTGCAAGACATAGACATCTGATGATCATCTTAAAAATTATGTTTATGTAGATACCGAGCCTACTCGAGTTCGGGAACAATCTACAAGTAGGATCGATCGAGGAAAAGGCAAAGAAGTATAGGTGAGTGCATATGCATAGCATGAATATAGTAGTATATTCAGTTCTAGACTTGTGATAAGTCTAGATTCCATATTTTGACATATGATTACATTCCATATTATGATACATGACATGAATTGTATTAAATGTATTACATGACATGAATTCATATTATATGTATTACATGACATGAATATGCAGAAAAAGTTATATGCACTATGTGATAAAGGTATGTAAATGATATGCCTATGTGTTAAAGGTATGGAAATACTATGTCTACGCGATATGAACTACAGGAAATGTATAAGCCCATGTTATGTAGATGATAACTATAGGTATAGTTGGCATGCCAAGGGTAGAGGGTATACTCGGTTCTTTAGGACATATGTATATCCTTTGGAACCTGTGTGAAGTCTTGAAAGACACATACTTGATCCATAGTATATGTATATGATTCTTAAGGAATTCTACGTGGTCCTTATGGACATAATTCTACGGGCACTTCGGTGCAATTCTACGGGCACTTCGGTGCAATTCTACGGGGCACTTCGGTGCATTTATACGAGCTGTGGTGACAGCATAGTGCACAACCTCATATTACTCAAATACCTTAGGTTCTCAATATGCTATCATGGGCCAATAAACTTATTAATACAGAATAATGAATGTTACAGTCCTACGCTTACAGGTATGGATATTGATGAAGTATACTACATTGATTAAGTACATGTTTGCATCTCATCTCATATGATCCTGACATTTTCATTACATTACATTGCCTTGTTATTATTAATGCCTCACTAAGTCGATGACTTAGCGTGTGAGTGTTTCACACGTAGGATCCGAGGAATTTAGACGAGACAGGTGAAGCAGCTTGACAGTATTACTCCTGCAACCATCAGATCAGAAGCAACTTAATCAGTAGGTCATTTTGTTATGTAAATGACAGTTGGCATGTAATTAAAGGGTTAAGTTGTGTATGCTCTGAATATTTTGGTAAACTTATATTACAGTATGTATATTATGGTATTTTCTTAATATAAGATCAAATATTTTACTATTATTTATTAAGAGTTGTGTTTTAAAGTCAATGTAGTATCTCTGACTCATATCCGGGTCGAGTATGGGTTAGGGGTGTTACATTTAATGGTATCAGATCTATGGTTTAGCCGATTCTAGGCATAAACCAGAGTCTATGGAGTCTTTAAATGGAATACATGCCAACTAATAGCGAGAACTTCTGATCTGGTATAGTATGAGTATGCTGTTTTGCTAATAGGATAATGTGTTTATTCTTATTAGATGTCCGGACATAATAGCTCCCGAAGTGAAGCGGGAGAAGATAGGCATGCTGAAAGCAGTAATTCACCTGCCCTGGCCAGGCAAGGTGAAGAACAGGCATCTCAAGGAGTGCCTGTACAAGATCAAGATACGTTCTTCAGAACGTTAGACGCTATTCTGACGCGTCTTCAACCTCCTGTTCCACTAACTCCAAGAATTAATGTAGCAAAAGAGTTGAGAAGTTTAGGAGCTCCCGAATTTAAGGGAGAAGCTGAGGAAGGTCCGGTGTCAGCGGATCTTTGGTTGAATGATTTAAAAATCATGTCAGATGGTCTCCACTGTTCCGAAGTGGAGAAATTAGATGGAGCTGTGTCTTTATTAAGGGGTCAGGCTAGGATTTGGTGGACGAACGTCACCATGAGGATGTCAACCGACCAGTTGACTTGGTCTTTGTTTTTAGAAGAATTTAAAAGCAAGTATATTGGAGATCAGTTTATCCGACAAATGAAGTAGGAGTTTATGAATTTGAAGCAGATGAGCCGCTCTGTATATGAGTACGAATGTGAGTTTAATAAGCTGAGCAGGTTTGCAGCTGAACTTGTGCCTACTGAAAAAGATGCTTGCGAGTGGTTCGTGGAGGGCTTGCGCCCTAGACTTAAAGAAATGTTGATAGTATTAAACTTGTCCTCGTTCCAGGAGGTGATCAATCGTGCAAAAGCTCTTGAAAGGGTTCAGAATGAAAGATTTGGGGACTCGAGAGTTCAGACATCAAAGAGGACGACTACTTATTCTGGTTCAACACCAACAAAAAGGGGAAGAGACTCGGGATTTCGATCACAAACTAGATCAGAATCAGTTGCATCGTCTGCTAGGGGAGCAAGTCAGGCAAGAACTAGACAGACGCAGTCAGTGGAATCTGGTGCTGGGAGATCTACTCCGGGTCAAAGGAAACAGTGTGAGCACTGCGGGAAAAACCATTATGGGGATTGTCGTATGGCAGCTGGGACTTGTTTTCGATGTGGAGAGGCCGGACATTTTGTCCGGGATTGTCCCTTGATTGTTGGTGAGCCGGCACCATCTGGAAGAGCTG